CTGGATTCTTCACAAAATGAGCAAAGAGAAAAGTTCGAATTAACTTCCAAAAATAACTCCCTCGTGGAGGGCAAGGTCGGATTTACGGTGTTCACTGTATTTATCCATGCGCTAAATTTGTTCCGGAGAAAAATCGAAACAATTTCAAATCTAACTTTCAGCTCAGAGTTCTATTGATAAACTTAAATCACCCTATAGACATATCATACGCAATTGTATTTATACTGAATTGTGGAATAACATTGAAGTGTTTGTTAAAATTTCAAAGTACTACTTTGTTTGCCAATCAGCACGCGACAAACACGCTGTTCAAACTATTGAACGAAATTTTGTGGACTGTCGATAAGGCGGGCATTTTTAATTTTAAATATAATTTATTAGTTAAAAAAGAACATAAGAGGCAGAGAAAACGTAAATATAAGTATCGAACTGTTTTTGTATGGTATTCATGATCTATTTAAATGACACAGCTTTGCAAGCAAACAACATAATGCGCGCTAGCGCATTATGATTTGTTTGCTTGCAATCATTCATTCATTCTTTCATTCAAATAGATCATAAATACCATACAAAAACAGTTCAACCCTTAAATATGCCCCTCTCTAAAAGAAATCAATGACAAAAAAAGATCCTTCTTCATCGGCCGCTTATCCGATCTTTATTTACAGCATGACTTAATACTAGTTGTATGATAATCGAGTCCACATCGATTTTACGATGGTCAATTTTGTTTTGTTTTGGAGAGATTATATATGGTCTTACTATTATATGTCGAATTATAGCTCTGTGAGACCTAACTTGGATTTTATCAAGCTTTACACGGCATGTGTCATCAATGAGGCAGAAGACGCTTACTGTTCCGGAATATCTGGTTTAACTTTCCTTGCACTTATTCAATGAAGCCAGTGCACCTTTGTCCATATGTTGTCCTAGTTTAACCGTTTTATAGTTCACGTTACAGGTTTTGTTTTTACTTTGGTCTGCGGATGAGTTATACATAAGATGTTGATGTATGAGTTAACTTGAATGCGATGTAAAGATAACGATGCTCAAAATGCAGGTTATACGTAGGAAACAATACCTCTATCACTTCTCTTTACAGATGCTACGACTCGTGTGTCTTCTGGCGGTAGCGGCAGGTAAGTAAATACATTCGTTTTGTATTGCTATGAGAGAAAATGATAGGCTGTATATTAATTAAACAATAACATAAATAAGAAATAAGTGTGTCCAACTATTCATATAAAGTATTTATCACATTTTGTTTCTGAAATATCTAAAATTCTCATTGTGATAAGAGATATAGTGAAAATACACGAAATTGTACATCGTCACAAGGTCCGGTATCAATTATATATTAACCAACCAAAGTGGTATTTTCTATTTGCTGTTCCAAATTTTCTGTTCAGCTGCAGATTACGCAATGGTAGAATGAGTGGTTGTGTTGACATATTTAGTATATACACAAAGTTATTAACATACTTATTCAATTATTATTTTGTAAGTAAAACCTGCCAAACAATAGCAAAAAGCAGTAGAATTGCATTGAGTAGCCCATTTAAAATGGCGCACAACCTTGTTGTCTAGCATGACGTAATCAAACACAACGGCACGAAGTCCTGCGCCTTTTTGATGCAGCGATTGTTTTTGTCGTTTTACTTTAAAAAAAAGTAATAAATAGAAAATCTAATAATCAATATTTTTAAGCATGCGTGAAAATATCGGTATTATATCATACTCTTAAAACAAATGTATATATATATATGGTATTTGACAGGAAAACCATTAAATATCCTCAATATATATAACAAACCATCTGTTCATCTTTGCTGGTACAACCCGGTAAACTGACATGAACTTGTTTATATTTCAGTGGTTACCAACGCCTACCGCCGTGTATGTTACCATTCCAACTGGTCACAATACAGAACAATTCCTGGCAAATTTTTACCCGAGAGTATCGATGCAAGTCTCTGCACACATGTTATATATGCATTTGCAACTCTCAACGGCAATCACCTGAAGGCCTTCGAATGGAACGATGAGAGCACTGCATGGTCAAAAGGCATGTAAGTACATGAGAGTAACAAGATAGTCTTATGCTCCGAGGTATGGGAACCTTACTCGTGAGATAAAGGTGTTTAAGCATTGGACTGACAAGGCCTTGGTCGAGGGGTATGGGTGACCACTCTCTTCTTGAAGCTGAAAAATTTCGATAAACTTTCTTTAAATAATAATTATACCTGTCATGAGTAATGCCAACTACAAATGTCCCATCTTTAATATCTGTTTTATTTCCTGTGGATATGTAGGTACGAGAGATTTAATGCAATGAAGACCCAGAACCCGTCTGTAAAAACTATGCTAGCGGTAGGGGGCTGGAACATGGGCTCCGCACCTTTCACCAGGATCGCGGCCTCCGACGCAAGTCGTCAAGACTTCGCCACAGATGCCGTGAAGTTCCTGAGAACACATAACTTTGATGGCCTTGATTTCGACTGGGAGTATCCAGCCAACAGAGGGAGCCCTCCCCAGGACAAACAAAACTTTGTCGCACTCGTTAAGGTAAGGCTACTGTGCATGTGCACATAACATCTTCGCCTCTATGCATAAATTGGCGATATTATAAGAATACAAAATAATTAAATAAAGATTTTTTCTTTGACTGCCCCTTAACTGCCATGGTGACAAAACAAAGAGAAATTATCCGTCTACTTTCATGGTGAAGGAGGAGAGTTGACCCTTCACTGCCATAATGATAGTCAGTCACTTGTATACGTTGTTTCGGTTTTTTTTATATAATAATACCATGTTATTGGTCATTTATCGTTTCCTCTATTTTCAGAAAACACGTGAAACATTTGACGCAGAAGCACAAACAAGTGGCAAACCGCGCCTCTTACTTTCAGCAGCTACGGGAGCGGGCAAGGACAAAATTGCATCAGCGTACGACTTCCCTCAGCTCATCAAGTACGTCAAATTTAACCAACAATCGGCTCTATCCGTGCCTCATGAAACATATATCTATATACAACCTTTAATTCGTCTTCGTCGTTCATGATTGTTGGTGATAAAAATACTAATATGATAATACAATCATCCACTCTATATCTGAATATTATGGGATAAATATGATTCACGTGTTCTCTCTATCAATAACTAACTCTCTAAGGACCTACAAGGTATGACTCCGGTTCAGCAAGTAAACTCTACATACGAGATTTAATCTGAATAACATTTACAGAAATAATCCTACTTAATGATTAACTAGTCTTACCGCGTTGGTCTTAAGGTCCAAAAACGACCAAAGTGCACCACATTGTCAACACACTCAGTTTAACTCTGAACTCAAAGTCCATACGGAAAGATACAAACGCTTCTATCATTACACTTCATTGGTCAAATGTGTTTGTGCTTCCTTTACATAGGTATCTGGATATGATCAACATGATGTCCTATGACCTCCACGGTTCCTTCGAGGACAAAACCGGTCACAACAGTCCGCTAAAAGCGGGCCCAATGGACGTGGGGGATGACATCTACCTGAATGTGGTAAGTGGCTTCAACTGAAGGTCAAAATAGACAATCAGACACTGCATTCGGTTCTAAGAATGAATATTGGTTTCTTACGTTGATTTAGAAACGGAAAATAAATTGAAACATGTGCTTATATAGTGTGCACGTCTGACTACGATCGTACTATAGCATAAATGTCGCTGCGCACACAAGCTACATATACGAGTAATTGTAGCTATTTTGGTTGTCATTAGGAATGGGCTGCCCATGAGTATGTGAGAAGAGGTGTACCGAAGAGTATGCTTAACATCGGAATGCCTCTATACGGTCGCTCCTTTACCCTGAAGGATCGTAACAACAACGGTTTAAATGCACCCGTTCGAGGAGGGGGAAACGCTGGCAGGTATACGGGAGAGAAGGGTTTCCTGGCTTACTACGAGGTAAACGTCAAATCAACACAATCACTGTACACGTCATTTGACACTACAGACAGTGTAAAGTTTTACAAGTATCAACTACAGGTGTAATATAATCAAAATATCACGTTAAACAAGTATCTGAACAGTCCACCGAGATACACTAAAAGTCGTGTCTTATTCATTTCCTCAAAAGAAATCTTTCAGCACCTACGAAATATTGTTTTGTTTTAAACAATGTCTTTGTTCCGATAAAGATTATTTTCTTCACAAACACACTTCATTGCCTGGAGACAGCTGCGTTTGCAGCATATAAGTAAAAAACGAACGATACTTAACGCAAACGGCGAGAGGTCGTACACGACGGTAATTGGTACAGCACAAATCAAGTATTACAGCAGTGAAACACAGGTCACAACTCAACCTCTTCTCTTTAACCGATCCTCAAATGGTATTTTCACTAACGTTTAACAGTATGTTTACAGCAAAATCATTGACACCAAGCTAACATGAGGTTATTCTAAAAACAATTTCAGATCTGTAAAATGATCCCCAGTTCTACGAAGCACATAATCCAGGGAGAAGAAGTTCCGTATATCGTCCAGGGAGACCAGTGGGTGGGATATGATGACAAGGAAAGTCTCCGTAAAAAGGTAATGGCTATGCTATCGGCCTCCAGCGAGTTACCCATATTGGAAAGATATCCAATACCTCTTTTAACCATGCGCTTATTGTACCACTGCACCAAAAAGTGACATATTCATAAACTTTTATTACGAATTATACCGACATGTTTATTGGACTGACTTTTTGACACTTAATACTGATTACTGATTTTATGAATATCCCCTATGTATACGATAGGTCGATTTCGTGAAACAAGAGCAGTTCGGTGGTGTTATGGTTTGGGATCTGGCTTTGGATGATTTCACTGGATCATGTGGAGAAGGCAAATACCCGCTTTTGACCGAAATTAATAGAGAGTTAAGGTCCGGCTCACCAGCTCCAGTAACCAAGTAAGTAACCAAATATATAACAGGGTTAATAAGATAAAGCAAGTTTTGTAGTAAGCTTGGTGAAAGTAGTAGCATTGCCTAAGCACGAACGTGTAACGGCAATCGAATGTTACTTCCAAGAAACACGAACGTATAACGGCAATCGAATGTTACTTCCAAGAGACACGAACGTATACGGCAATCGAATGTTACTTCCAAGAGACACGAACGTATAACGGCAATCGAATGTTACTTCCAAGAGACACGAACGTATAACGGCAATCGAATGTTACTTCCAAGAGACACGAACGTATAACGGCAATCGAATGTTACTTCCAAGAGACACGAACGTATAACGGCAATCGAATGTTACTTCCAAGAGACACGAACGTATAACGGCAATCGAATGTTACTTCCAAGAGACACGAACGTATAACGGCAATCGAATGTTACTTCCAAGAGACACGAACGTATAACGGCAATCGAATGTTACTTCCAAGAGACACGAACGTATAACGGCAATCGAATGTTACTTCCAAGAGACACGAACGTATAACGGCAATCGAATGTTACTTCCAAGAGACACGAACGTATAACGGCAATCGAATGTTACTTCCAAGAGACACGAACGTATAACGGCAATCGAATGTTACTTCCAAGAGACACGAACGTATAACGGCAATCGAATGTTACTTCCAAGAGACACGAACGTATAACGGCAATCGAATGTTACTTCCAAGAGACACGAACGTATAACGGCAATCGAATGTTACTTCCAAGAGACACGAACGTATAACGGCAATCGAATGTTACTTCCAAGAGACACGAACGTATAACGGCAATCGAATGTTACTTCCAAGAGACACGAACGTATAACGGCAATCGAATGTTACTTCCAAGAGACACGAACGTATAACGGCAATCGAATGTTACTTCCAAGAGACACGAACGTATAACGGCAATCGAATGTTATTTCCAAGAGACACGAACGTATAACGGCAATCGACTGTTACTTCACAGAGACACGAACGTATAACGGCAATCGACTGTTACTTCCAAGAGACACGAACGAATTTTTGACAGGAGACTTCATTGCTGAGAACATAATAAAGAAAGTAAATTATCGTCCACACTTTTTGTACAGACAATGTAAAAATCTTCCTCTGGACATAAGAAAGACGCGTTGTAATTCTCTAGTGCTATGTAATTTTGACTACTGCTGCTCAGCCTGGTATTATGGTTTAAATCAAAGATTAAAAAACCAGTTGCAAGTAGCACAGAACAGATGTGTACGTTTTATTTGTGATTTCTAGGACGAGAATAGATGGTAAAGTCTTAACAAATCTGAATCTTTTGAATGTTGAAAACCGAGCAAAGCAAATGGGCTTAAACCATATGTTCAATGTAATTCACGAAACTTGTTTAAGTTATATTACAGAAAAATTTACGAGGGTTAATGAACGCCATGGATACGCAACTAGAAAATCATCTTTAAACTTGACAGTGACATGTGCAAAAGGTCAGATGTCAAAGACTTTCTTTTACAACGGTATTCAGATTTGGAACGTTTTACCTTCTGATATACGGTCTATAGTAAACAAAATAAATTTTAAGAAGAGAGTGAAAACATTTTTTCAGCAGAGTTCTTGATATTTTTTGACTAGTTATGTGTAACACATAATGCGTTTTTATGCAACAGAGACCGTTAGTGTTTTATACTTATATGAATACTACCATATGTGACAAAGAAAATAGGGTGGTGATGTTAATTTTGCACTCAATATATTACACTGTGATAAATATATGTATGTGTTGACTTGTAATTGTATTTGTAAAATGATCGTATTTATGTTATATGTTAGGGACCACAGTGGAAATAAGTCCGTGACTTTACTGTGTTATCCCGGTAAAACATGTATTGTATTGTCTATGTGATGTACTTTTATGTATTGATGTAATGTTTTACCAAATAAATCTATCTATCTATAACGTATAACGGCAATCGACTGTCACATCCTAGAGACACGCCCCTATAACAAGAATCGACTGTTTCCACCAAGCGACACGAATGTATTACGGCAATGGACTGTCACCTCTAAGAGACACGAACTTATAACACAAATTGACTGTTTCTACCAAGCGACACTAACCTATAACGACAATCTAACCTATAACGACAGTCGACTGTTACTATCAAGAGACATGATGCAATAACGTAAAAATGCTGTTACTACCCAGAAACAAGTACTTATGGCGGGAATCGTCCACAGCAATAATAAAATTATGTATCTGTATGTGAAATATTTCAGCCCAACAAACGCGCCTGCCACTACGCAAGCACCGGTTAACACTCAACCACCTGTAGTAACACAGGCACCTGTAGTAACCCAAGCACCGGTCAACACTCAACCACCTGTAGTAACCCAAGCACCTGTTGTAACCCAAGCACCGGTCAACACTCAACCACCTGTAGTAACTCAAGCACCTGCAACAAACGCCCCAGTCACCTCCGCGCCTGTCACATCCGGTATGTATAGACAAGAATATGGATTCGGACTTATGATCCTTTCCACTGTGCAATGGTTTAGTTCTAATAGCTTCTGACATGTTCCGAATGGATTTCGCATGTTAGTGTATTTAATAGTGGGATGGCTATCCGTATACAATCGTTCGTTCTCTAAGAAAACTTTACAACTTTCCGAGAGTTACTGTATACGCAAAGTTTCAGTTCGTGCTTGTATTAAGTCATAATCACTCAGACATTCAGAGTAAACATTGTTGTTTTTTGTATGTTTGGTCTACAGCGTTACTTGTCTGTCGTGTTACCGTTCGGTCTAAAGCGTACTTGTCTAGAATAACCTTCTGCTGTGTTACTTGTTAATACGATACCAAGAATCACAAAACTTTCCCTGTTGAGAAAACAACACTGTGTTTGATAATTAATAAAGATTGGTTTGGTGTTATATTGTTTAACGTCCTATCAACAGCTAAGGTCATTTAAGGGCGTAATTATTTAAGAAAGCATTACTATTGAAACAATGAGTGTCGTACATAGTTAATATGAACATTTATGATATTTAATGTGTTGGCTTGCTTGCTTAATTTTCATCAACGTGTACCAAAGTTTCATTCATTAGCTCATCAAACCACCAATTGCTTGCCATTGTTGTTATTGTTAACAGCACCCAACGCCCATCATACGGTATCAACTACAAATCACTTCAACTGTGCATCCCAGAGTACCGGCTTTTACCCTAGTCCCGCTGACTGTTCAAAGTACTTCATCTGTGCTGGTGGCGCAGCGTTTGAAGTGGCGTGTACATCAGGTCTTCAGTTTAACCCTACTTCATTATTTTGTGATTGGCCAAAAAATGTTAATTGCAATAGTCGGCCAGCCTCGGTAGTGACAACGATGTCGCCAAGTACAAATGCACCATCTACGAGCAAGCCGCTCCAAACCGCGCAACCGGCTGTCAACACCCCCCCGCCAACAAACGCACCGACGCCTTGGGTGCAGCCCACCAACGCACCTCAGACTGCGGCCCCTCAGACCAACGCGCCAGGTAAACGTTCAGGTCATCAATACTTGACAGCCATTACATTACACCCGTATTACAACACGTATGCCTTTAAATATAAGTATACACAGGTCAAACTTCTCTTACGTGTAAGTAAGTGATGGTGTTACAGTCACGGCACACTAATTACGGATGATTGACAATGATGGAGTGGCGTGCTACTTTACAATTTGTTTCTTAGATACCATTGATGACGTCATACATAAAAGTCTATTTATATCTGGCACAATATGTAATGTACGGGGTTTCTGAATTTACATTTGCTGCTCTATCAGAGATTATTGTTTAGCATTATAAATGTATAGCCAGCTAAGTATAACGTTTACCCAGAAGTATTACAACTGTAACCAAGAGTTACTGTGTGAGGACCTATCTGCGTGTAATCAAAGAGGAACCAATCACCTTTATGCATGAAAAGCGAGGAATCATCACTGTAGAAAGTAATTTTACAAGGCCGGTAATAATGTTCATATTAAGGAGCATTGATGATGTATAAAGATGTGGTGATAATTTCTCTATGTAGGGGCGGTGGTTATATCTCTATGTAGGGGCGGTGGTTATATCTCTATGTATGGGGCGGTGATTTATCTCTATGTAGGGGCGGTGATATATCTCTATGTAGGGGCGGTGATAATGTCTCTATGTAGGGGCGGTGATATATCTCTATGTAGGTGTAACAGAGCGCATGATTAATTAAATATAAATCACTACCTCCGCATGGGATCGAACCCGGGACCTCTGGCTTACTAGTCTAACGCTCAACCGATCGAGCTAAAGAGAAGTTCTCTATAGCCGAGCGATATATTGCGGCTAGTATTTACCAGGGTAACATACTCCCCCTTCCAGGAAAGAACTCGTCCTCGAGTTTTTCCAGGGGTAACAGCGATGCTTGTGGAGCAAGGCCGAGTATTTTTCCCGGGCCCCACGTTGGGCGCCATTGTGAAATTGGGGTTCTCGCACTTGCACAAAGTACTCGACGACAAATATTGCGTTTCTTTTGCTTTATTCGTATGGAGAATCCGTATGGAAGATCCCTAAAATAATATAAAAACACTAGTTGTACAATACAGACACATATTAAACATATTTCCTATCGAACACACCGAACATTAACTTTTACAATACATAACGCGAACAATGGAATATTTAAAAGGACGTGAACACAATTCTATGACTTCTAGATAAAAATGGAGTTACTGTATCGTTACATACAAATGAATTATAGAACATTCTCAGTGTAGAATGTAACTTATAATATTTTACTTTGACTTGCAACTAATTTACACAAAGGAATTTACGTAAGTCTAAAACAATAATTTACCAAATAATAATTTATCAAATAATGCTAAATTAATTAAATACACATTCTGTAAATAACTTACCCTGCATGTGGTGCTGAGGATATATTGGATGAATAATCAATTTATGCCATCGATCTTCAAACTTAGGAAAAACTCATCTATACAATGTAGGTCTGACCCCTTGTAAATAAAGTGCCCAAGTGAAGAAATAGAGAGAGAAAAGCGGGAAATAAAATAAGCGTCGCATTGCGCATGCATGTCCAAAGTGGTCAGTCTGGTCAACAAAAGAATACAACACATAACACATGACATCACAGGTGTTACACAATCACATACTTATACAATGTGCATAATACGGGCCATAATAACAAGTATACGGAAAGCGGAAATACGGGTCACGTGATACAGCGGCACGAACGGAAAATGTAACTTACTTAACAATCTTCCATAGTGAAGTATTTATTTTCTTTCAAATCCAACTTAATCAAATTAAAAC